CATTGAGAATTGGGGCCCGATTGCCCGCCTCAAGGTCTCCAGTTGTAAATGCGCTCGTGTGCACGTTTTGAAAACAATACAATTACTGAATTGTTGTTGTCATAATTGATGCAGACCCAGCGGCATACGGTTTATTATTTCAAATCGAGGGCAGCAATGGAGGGCACGCAAACGCGGCTCACATTTTTGTGGTCTCACTTTTTATAACGGTTTTGAACCAAAATTTGCTCCTGCATTTACTTGGGTTTGGAACTTTTTTTCCCCTGTTCCGCTATTTTTATTTTAACAATTTATTATCCCAATTGCAACATGAGCAATTATATGTGTGTGTCACTTGAGGGAAAGAAGCCCGAAAACAAAGCCCGCCATGAAGTGCCACATAAGAGAGAAGTGATAAAATAAACTGGCAGAATTATGAATGCGGTAAAAGCAGGAAAACAGCGCAATATAGTGAGCGCTTATGCATTTGCATGTTGGAGAGGGGTATGCTCGAGCTGAAGAGTTCCCAGAAAAGCGTTCAGTGCAACCAGCGTGTAAATTTAAATGTGTGCACATATGCTGCGCTGCGGAGTGCGACAATCTAAAGTGCATACACTGACATATAACAACAGCTGCGCATTTCCCTTGAAGACTTTTGGGGTTTATGCTTGCTTGTTCTCTAAAAGGATTTGTAGATTTTTATAGTTTTGACGGTTTATACTGTATTAAAAAATACTTGTTAGCCCAAAACAATAGCCAGCTAACCGACGGTGCATGAGGATTTGTGTTTGCAGTGGCGGATGACTGTAGTCTCTTTCCAGCATTATTAATCCCAGAAGGAGTAGGCACGGAAAGATACAATTATGTCTATAAATAAAAGTGCAAAAGCCATTGAAAATGATAAAAGAGAAAAAAAAAAATCATAGTAATTTGAAACCTAACGTAAGCGTGAGATCAAATAACAAACATTAAATGATAAAGATGGGGTATGACCGAATATTTCATAATCTTCCAACTTGAAAGGATTAAAGCCAAAGAAGTACCTTCCAGTACATAAGGATTGTTAGTTATATGGGGTCTATAGCGGTTTTATTCATTCTAGGCCCAAATGTGCACTGCTTTCTTATTTTTATTAAGAGAACTCACACATTGGCCGATATATGCTATGCGGTAGAAAGTCACCTGGAAATTCGAAAAGCTTTCTATTGGGTAGTGGAAGTATCGACACGATTTAATCCATTTCTATGATACTGACATACTAATATCAGGAAATACTTAACTCAGAATTTCAATTATATGGTATAGCTCACAAATTGACCGATAATTTCGATAAAAAGTCAACTGTAGTCAATGTGGTGCACATATTCGATACCTATGGGTTTGAACAAGCTTGGTTCGATTTGGATATCTGCTTGAAAAGCCCTATTCGTGCAAGGTTTTACTTCGTTATATTATTTCGTTCTTGATTTGTATATTGGAAAGTGAAAGAATCAATTTTTTTCTTTCAAGCTGTGTTATCTGGGAAGTATGTGTGGCTGTAGCCGGATTTTGCCTATTTTCAAGGAAAAAAATATTATATACCGAATAAATATAAAGCCTTTTTGCACCATCTTTAAGGCATAATTAAATGACTCTAGCATAGTTTGTAATGGTGAAGTTATAAGGCAAGTGGGCGGAATTATCATTGCTTTTTGTTTATTTTTTTATTCTCACTCTTGCTAGAAGGTGCTACAATATTTGGCTAGGCGAATTTGGTTGTTGCACATTATACTTATTATAGGGCGGGGCCACGAACACTTCTTTAGCTTTTTCATTTTTTATTATTTGCAGGAGTTCTTCTTCCGATTTTTACACTTTTCTCCTCTCTTTTAGTTTATTTTCCGCTGCTTAACCGAATATTTATTGAATTTCCTCAAAGCAGATATTTACATTAATTTGGATCATACCAAGTGCTCAGGAAAGAAGTGGATATTTGTAAAGTTTCCTTGTTTACAATGCTCTGCTCATACCCTTGCATAAATATTTTCAATTACGGACGGACAAGTTTTCCTGTAGCAATTAGCAAAATTTATATTGCAGCTAAACCGCAAAAGCTATCGAATTTTAACAAATTTATCCAAAAACCAATTGCTGTATTCCTACTTTTCGAACTTTCTACCTGCACAGATTAAAGTTCACAAAATCCATTATTTTTTACAAATTTGTTATACACACTCGTTCCCATGTATGCATGGAAATGCCATTGTTATACCCAACAAACATCGATCGCATGCATTACTCACGAAGTCGTCGACTCAGTCATTAAAGGATAACGAATGGATTTTCCAAAAGCGAACAAATTTTAATTTCAAGCAAATTCTGAGCATCTCGCCAATTCACGGCTGTTAATTTTCGAGTGAGCTGCTGACGTTTCTCGTCTCGTGTTACTCTACCGATGAGCAAATAAAGATTTCGTTTGGCCAATGCATGCATGTTCACATTTTCGGAAACTGTGAAACTTGTTTGCTGGGTGTTTACGTATAGTCTCATTTAAGTGCAATAAAATTGGTTGAGTTTTCGTTCGTTCCCTCGGTTTGCTTACTTTATTTTGTTTAACTTTTGTATTTAGTTAACAACATTTGCTCAACCGATATCCTTCAGATCGGTGTCCATTTGAAGTCGTAAATAAAACTGAATGTGTGTGTGTAACACCCAACTGGAGGGTGGTAGCTAAGAAAGCAAATTCAGCAGCGAATATGTGTGTGCAAGCACCAAAGTGCATTGCCTCAAGTCGTGTGGTGTGGGGTGGCCCGTCCGAAGAGCGCAAGTGGTTTTGTGCTCTGGGCGAGTGTTTGGCAGAGTGGCAGAGGATGGGAATTTGGAAAGTTTGAAATTGGGGCACCTAGTGCAAATATGATATATGACTGCTAGCACACTCGAGTGCAGTTCATGAATTGTGCACGAACTACGTGGCAACCACAACAAATACAACAGGAGCTTTTTAACTTACACTCGGAATACCAGGATGGCGGCCGGTGCTTATTGGGGGCGAAACTGTGAGAAAAATTACTACGCTCCTGCCACATATTTGCTTTCGAAGCATATGTGCCTGCATATATGTGTGTGGGTATGGACATTTCTCAGAAACTTTGTGATACGGCACACATACACTTTATGGAGTGTGTGTGTGTATTTACGATTGTGTGTGTCCACTCTTGCCAGTTGGCACCTGCACAGCGCGACAACAACAACTGCGCTAACTGTGCAAATAACTCAGCCGAACTCGGTCAGCCAAACGCTTGTCCGACGCACAAGTTCTCAGCCAGTGCCCACACCATCAGTCGGTGTGGAACTTTATTAGGAGTTAAATTGGACAGACTGGTAAATACGCATACCTGTTAAAGTTGTGTATGCGCAGAGTGCTCGTGAGCAAGCTTAAGAACAGGGTACATTCCTCTCAAGTCAACGTAGGACGAGAGCTGCGGCGGCAGGGATCCCCTAAATCAAACACGTATTTTTTCAGAAGTAAATTTCTTCTCGGTGTATTAGCAGTTGTGGGAGAATATTTGGCATTTTATGAGAAGTTATATTGTGAGTTAGTTTTTACCATAAAATATGCACTCCCATAATAATCCTGTTGATAAGTGATCCTACTCCATAGCATTTAATGAAGAGACTCTTTTTGGACTATGCTTTTGGAAAAAAATTCAGAGAAACAAATATTTTTAAACAAAAATTGGTTGCAGAAAAGTCGACAACTTCGGTTGAGGCGGCACTTTGAGAACCGTTAAGTTCTTGCGAGCAATCTACAGCGACTTTCCACCCTTTAAAATGGCGTCTGGGTCTGTAAACGACAAACCGTAAACTGTCAAAATGTGTCAGTATGTTGTATTAATTCCTGACATGCGTACGAAATGGTGGGGGTAGCTTTCTAGTGTTCGACACTTGGTGTGGTTTTAAGCTCACCGCCCTATATACACACATCCATATGGTACTTATGTACTTTCCTTTGCTGCTTATTTTGGCAGTCCACATGCCTTTCGAAGTTTATTTAAGAGTTCGACTTTGAGCGCGTTGCGGCTGTGTTGAGGCACACTTGCTGAACTTAGTTCCGGATTCAGCTGAGCTGGTGTGAGGGTGTGCGGTTTTACTTGCACTCTGTTGTGCCTTCCCAAATCTTTGTTGTTTGGTCGCCGTTTGTAAGCCGAATCGGGCTAGTCGGCCATAGCGCTGTCAACTTGCCTGCCACCAGCGTTAGCTCAAAAACTGGTGGTGTGCTTGCCTTTAGCTCGAGCACATGTCCGTTGTCAGTGGACCATCGATCAGTTGCATTGTTGAATTTAAGTGAACCTTTTTAACAAATTTGATTTGGTACCGTTACTTAATTGGCGAGAAGCAGTCTCAGTACCTCACAAAGCATATGCTGAGCACATGAAAATTTGTTAGCTTAAAATTTAAATAGATCGGGAAGGACTACGTGTAATACTGAGGAAACTATCACGCATTGTAGCTAATCAAGCACTTACTAGTTTTGTATAGGCAGGAAGAAACGACGCGAATAAAATACTAAATGAGTTTTTTTTTTTCCTTGGAAACGTACATACGGGTATCCTAGTCCAAAAACAATCGAATATGCATATACTCTTGACGATTACATATTCGTAAATACTTAATGGCTGCCGCTGTGCTGTGGCGTGATTTTAGGCGCGAACGTTTGCGTACTGCCAGTAATAAGTCAGCTAATTAGGCCCAAAGCGATACGCTCGGCAAATACGCTGTGTGGGGCGGCATTTGCGGGTGCTTCGAGACATTTTTTTGCGTTTCGTTTTCCTGCTTTCTTTACTGCCGGCACGTGTGTGGGCGTACGAAGATATTCGGGATACAAATGGTTGTAGTTACGAGCTGCATGTAATTGTATGCGTGGCATTACCGTAATTTTAATTAATTTAATTCCGGCTTCAATGTCTTTATTTCGTGCGCTTGCTTTATTGTTGCTACATTTCGCAGAATTGTTCACGAATTCTCTCTTTTTTCATTTGCAGATATTTAAAAGTACCGTTGTGGAATTCGTGAATGGGCTTGGATAAATAACTGAAAAGCACCGCGAGACAAGCAAGGAGCTATACACGAGCGAATGCTGGAATGAATATATAAAAAAGTACCAAGATCCTTCAAGAATTTGAAAGGCCAACAAAGAAGGAAAGTTTTTCGTGGCAAATGGGGGCTATGCACACGCAAGTGGCGGAAATTAGGGCTAGAAAAACAAGTTAATTAGTGAGGCTAAGGGCAGCGGAGATATGCACCGAGGAGAATATGCACACAGAGTTGTTAATTGAATAGCATTGCGTCAAACGAGCAAAAGCGTAAGAAAGTTAAGTGCGAAAATAAAAGGAAGACAAGAAAACTCTGAGACAAATCAACAGCGGCATTGCAGACCGGCTATAAAAGCAGAAGCAGAATTAGTTTGAATTAAGCAAAACACAGCGTGGACGGACTGCAAGGTGCTTCCGCCTTCGCGATCCGGTCATTTGCAATGTTGTACTCCGCCGCGCATCAGCCGAATCGCTTCATTAGAGCGTGGTGAGTGCTGCGCGAGGCAAGAGTGCAGACTGTGACTGTGAGCTGAAACTGCAAATGGAACGCAAAGTCAGCACCAACTAAAGGCACCACGATAACTATATATAATATATATGTATGTATGTATGTATGTAAGCAAATGCAGTTAGAGATGCACGTTCGTGAATTCGCATTGCTTCCAAGTTGTGTACAAGTTTCGACGCTGTAAATTAAATTGCAACTTCCGAAGGCTGTAAGCCGAAAGCGGAAAGTGAAAATAAAACGGAAAAACAGGATAATGTTCGACGCAGGTATACTGAGTGTGCAGGAATAAAAAATCGAAATAAAAGTCAAAGCAAAGTGCTCGTTGCTATAATAATAAAACAACAGCAGCAACAACAAAACAACGCACAATGGATTTGCTAAAAGTGCAACGAGCAACGCCATTATCGGTGGCGACGTTACGCCGTAAGCAAACTAAAAGTGTCACAACAACAACAACAGCAGCGCCAGCATGCGCTACTGCCACGCCTGGGAGCACTTGCACAAACGCGGCCCCAAGAAGCTGCAGTTCAATGCCGTTGGCATGTAAAGCTGCGTTGCAAGCGCTCTCTACAACAACAACAACTGTAGCGCCAACAACCCGCATCGGCAGCAGCAGCAGCGAGGGCAAGGAAAGCGCTGCCACGTCGGAACAGGCGCTGCCGCGTCTGTTGGCGGCTACCAGCTGGGGCGGCTGGCGCCACTGCATCGTTGGCCTTGTGACGTTGCTGGTGTTCACAGCGAATTTCAACAGCAGCGTCGGCCAAATCGATTGGGATGATGACGATGATCCAGGTTAGTCTCACCAATTCGCCTCTTCTGTTTGTTGTTGCTATCATTTTCAATTCATTTGGCAGGAAATTCGCACTGCTCCTGCAATAACTTATCTCTGTGCAATGCTAGGTCATGCCAACCACACACACACACACACACACACACACAGACATACACACACCTGAACAATTGAAAAAACAATTGTTGTGGCTTCGCGCAGCAAAAAATGAACTAAATTAAGCGTAACAAGAACAGCGCGTTGCACGTTGGTGGGGGAGCACAGCACATTAACAAGAGGCAGCACTTGTAATGTAGTCATTTCATATTAATTTCAATGCCAAACACTCTTCGTCGGCGCATAGCTACACAAGCACATCCTCTTGCAATGTAGAATTCTGCTTAATTGAAATCATGTAAACGACGCGGCTTCCCTTCTCCCCTCAAAGGTGCTGCTGGCGCGTTTAAAGTATTCAATTACAGCAGCCTTCAAGCACACACAAACACACACACACACACGCAAAGAAAGACACWGAAAGCAAGCATAATCGCGCTTGACGCATTGACAAAGGGGCAAAATGGGTCAGCCGACATAATTTTATTGAGTTGGTTGTATGCGAATGATAATGGCGTTTGGCGCTTTGCCTTTTCGCTTTGGGCTGTCGGTCTTGGCGTTGTCATTACTTTCAAATTAATTTGCGCCATCATAACGCTTTTCGCTGTGTTTTTAAGGTTGACAAAAGGTGTCTGCGCTTTATAAGTGAATTATAGCGCCCCCACTGGCTAGAGTTTCAAAAGCGATTATACTGAATCCCCCTGCCTCATTAACACCATTGAAGAATTCAAAGGAGAGGGAGAAGTTCTAAAATACTTTAAAAATAATTTAAAACATTCAATATGAAACTGAAAATTGAAGTTATGGCTGAGAAGGTCTGCAAATCCTAAACAAATTGTTTAATTTTATTTTTTTTGCAATGAAATATTTACAGTAAGAAAAATTGTTAACTTCGGCGGATCTTGTCAATATCCCATAATAGTTGTGTAGCCGGGTTCCGACAAGATAGATAAAACGACTTGTGCGAAATGTCAGATCGATATATTAACTGTACAATTCGCGGCACTAGTTTTCGTATATACGAACAGACAGAAAGATAGATGCCCACACTGATCATTTATAAAGGCTGATTCAAATCGAGTAGTCCAATTTTTGAAAGAAAAAATACAGAGACTTCAAATTTAATAAGAAATGTTTATTATCTCTTTCAAATGTTGGCTGCGGCTACGTTTCAGACGGCTCATCCAATGAAGCTGCGAGCTGGCACTGGTAGCTGTAGTGATGCTTTGCTCCAAAGCCTGAATTGAAGCGTGATTACCCACATAGACTTTCGACTTTACATATTCTCACAGGAAAAAGTTTAACGGTGTGATATAACACGTCTTGGTGGCTACTTGGCCGTCCCAAAATGTGAAATTATCTGCGCACCGAAGTGTTCTCTCAATAAATCCATTGATTGATGTGATGTGCGGGAAATGGCACCGCCTTATTGAAACCGAATTTCGCCGAGATCACGAGCTTCAATTTCAGACATCAAATAGTCGGTTACCATGGCGCGCTAACGGTCGCTATTGACGATTACGGTTTCATGCACATAATTTTTGAAGAAATATGGACTTATGATTTCACCGACTTTAAAATGTTGAATTTTTTTTGTAGCTTTTCAAGAACCCATAGAGCGAAACTATGTCGCTTGGGAAGTTCGAGCGGCTTCGGTACTTGCATAAGTTGGCTTTTGAAAGATTTTAATTTAAGTTCTCATCGCAAAATGCGCCAAGTCCTTCCATACATCAGTCCGAGTTACTGCGAACGGCACCAAATCAACTCTCCACAGGCTTTATATATACTCTCAGCTACGACTGCTATACTTTCTTCACGGCGTGTTGGACATGATCTATTCGGTCGAATATTATCCAAATATCGCGAATAGTACGCTTAGTAGGCCGATTATGTTGACCATATATTGAGGGAAGCGCGCGAAACACATTCCCTATAAAACGTGAGTTTTCATAATAAAGTTGTACAATTTATAAGCGTTGCTGAGACGTATGTACTTCCGCGCTGAAATGCCAACCAATACTAAACAAACATAACAAGATAGCTGGACACGAATCACCACTGATCTGTTAAGAAAGCTTAAAGAAAAACCTATATTTGAAGATAAACTTGCACTCTGTTCTTCAAATCAAATATCATTACTTAAATATAAGTACAATCGGATTAGCTTTAAACCATCTAATAAATTAGCGTTAATCTCCGGATGAACTTAAAAAGTCATTAAAAGCGAACCAAACAAATCTGACTAGGACTGCCGAATGTTTGCTGCGCCCTGTCCCAAAAGTGATGTGAACACACATACATCGTTTATATTTATGGTATGTTTAATTGTAATTAAGCATAATTCATGCAGAGGTTTCTTGATATGAAAAGAAAGAAATTTTGACAATTTTACGACATTCTCGAAGGCGCAACCCGACGTTTTTAACAACCATTTGTTTCCTTTAGGAATATAGTCAGAAAGTAATAATAACTACATCAACTTAAAAGAGTAAAGCAAAGGTTGAGAATTGTTTATATATTCGTTTGGAAATTCTATATGTGAGAATGTGCGGAAACCACAGTAGTGTGCCGCAACAGCCGTTGTCAGCAGGTAGCTGAATATGAACAGCAGTCGCGTGTTTTCACAAAATTCCATTTCGCCGTATAACTTCATTAATTATCTGCGCTGGGTGATGATGGGGAATATTTACTCCACGCTGAATGCTAATTCTTGATTTGAAACTAGTGACTTCGGTAATTACTATACCGTGTGTGTGGAAATCGTGATTATAAAGCCCGCATGTTTGACTGACAGTCGGGTTTTGTACCATATTAAATTTAAATTTTCTTTGGATGCCTAGGGTAAGCCCACGCAAGTGTCCTTCACCCTTGCCGCTCTCTGCCTGCTAAATGTCAGCGGCAAATGCGTGTGCTCTTTCGCCAGTTCCTTCCTTGGGCTCACCAGCTCATACTGCGTCGTGCGGGGCGCCATGAAGAATTCCAGATTGCATAAAATCACTGATTGTTGTAATGCTCACGCACGCTTTGAACGCTGACGATGACACGCATGTGTATCCTTCTGCTTAATTTGTAAGCGTATATATTGATATACATTCCCACACATGTGTATGTATTGGATTGCGGTATAAATGTGTAGCGGTTTATGCAGTGACTAATAGCTGTATTAAGTGCGCCGTATTTATGCGCAAAAACCACAAGCATTTGAACTATTTGCCGACGATTTGCTGCTGGCATTTTGACTGCTCCTTGTTTTTTTTCAGCCCCGACCGCTTACTAATATTTACTCGACAAGTGGATTAGAAAGGTGCCACAGCACGTAATTGCGCGCCTTTGCCACAGAGCCGTATGTGCCGCCGATATACATGTGTGGATAGTAACTAACGCATATCCGAGCTTGCCAACATTTGCACAGTGACGGATTGAAAAGTTCGGGAGCTCCTCAAATCGATTCAATTTTGAATAAAGGAGAGGAAAAGTGACTAGATTGTAAGGGTCAGTTCCACAGATCTACTACAGAGTGCTATGTGAGAAATTAAAAAAAGGAAGAAAAAAGTTATTTATCGGACTAACTGAAAGGAGTTCATCTGTTTTACTCTGAATCTGATATTGTTGCCAAACTCTTTTTATACCAAATTGAGAAAAAAAAGGTCTAGAAGAACCCAAATCGCCTTGATTATTTCATGATCACTACCGAGAAGTGAAACCTTTTTGGTTGATTCATAAAAACGATAAGCCTGAAACATTACCTGAAATTTCCAAAAACCCGATTTATTTTAGTTACACTGTTGCTACTCAGCTACAAACAGTTACACACCGAAATTTGTTTGTATGTTTTCTGTATGTCTTCGGCAACTTAATAATATTTACAACTATCGTCGACTTACTTGCACATATCTGTTTACGTACAAATCCTGATACTCGAATGTGTCAGCAGTGAGTTGTCGTACAGCTGGTGTTGTTTTTGTAGTCGTTGTTGTTATTACTTCATGCTACTGAAACTACTGCCGTAATTTGTGAAGGAAACACTTCATCTTCCATAAACCTCCGCTCCCCCAGGAGTTCTTATGCGCTAATACCGACCCGCACGCCTTAAAGTATGCCTCACTATATGAATATGTTCTTTCACACACATAAATACTCATTTATAACACGCTTAGAGCTAGTTGGCCACCTGATGTGCACGTTCATAACCTGCTTTACCTCTGCCACGGCGCTTTGCTTTTCACTCATAGTGTGTGGGGGAACTGGTGGCTCGTTTGTACTGTGCCTTGTCTTAAACTATAAGTAAGAAATAATAGTAATATTGTAGAAATTATTTTTCACATAGAGGAATCGCCATAAGCTTGGTCAAATACACTAGTGACTAGAACGAATTTTAAAACTAGAATTTTTTTTCTTTGTTTATAAAATTATTGTTATTTATCCTGATGCTGATTATCGCAAAAATCCACTGAAATAACAATTTCTTATATTTTCAAACGGTTTTCTCCAATATGAGCAGCATAGATTATGTAGGTTCGCGTTGACATAGACAAAAGAGAGGGATATCACACTAACCAAAATTCTCCCAAATCAAACTAATTGAGTAACGTTGTCGTTATTTTCAGACACAAATTTTTTTGCAGTGAAAAAGTTGAAGTTTATGTTCCACAAACTTACACCACAACACGTTGGAAACTACACCACTGTGCATCGATCGAATTTAGTGGCCTGGACTGCTGAAAAAATGTAGGTGTGTGTGTATATGCGAGTGTACGTCGGTACTTCTTCATTCGTTTATTGCCGCTGTCGGTCGAAAATGTTGGATTGGCTGTTAGCACGCGACGTTCTTGCTTTAAAAAATGAAATTATAATTTATAATTTTTTGCTGAGACACATTGTGGCTAGATGACGGTGGGATTTGCTGCCA